CTAGTACATAATGTATGCAAATTGACAGTAAAGTCAAGGGAGAAACTAATCAGAACCTCAGTGTGATTCAATACCATTGAAAAGCTGTCTTTTTCTGACTTACCGGCAAACCATCTTGACACTTCATGTACAAGTTAGTTTGACATCTGTGAACAAAGTCTTCTTCTGCCAATAGAATTTATAACTACTCATCTATGTTGATATCAGCAATCTAAAAAAATCTGTACTAGGGATACCTTCTGGCAAGTGCCAACAAGGTGAAATTATTTGTTCTTTTTAGAATGTGGCTTAGAATGATGATTTACCACATAATAAGTGTATTAAACTAAGTGATCAAGAAATATTGTCTACCCACTTTGTCTTTTCAGTTTCTGAAACAGGCTACACTAGTGTTCAAGGACAATTCTCGTGCTATAATAAGATGTGTACAGTAATCTGTTCATAGATGATTTCTATTCCGTACTGCAAAGTTTCAGCTCACTGATGTTTGTTAGTCTCACTCAATGGCAAGCCAATTGATGTTATTTGTTACAAACCGATTAACTTACCTTTGAGGCATTTTAAATTCTTACAGTTTCAAAGTTGTTTCATCCACTGATTAGTATAGGTAATCATACGGTTTCGAGTTCAATTTGGAATTAATTTGCACGAGTGAGTTTTTCAAAAAGTTGAAATTGCATGAGCCGCTTCGGCGAGTGCAATTTCAGCTTTTTGAAAAACTCACAAGTGCAAATTAATTCCAAATTGAATGAGAAAAACCATATGATTACTTATTAATTATATAAACAAGAAAACATTTGCGTGGAGCAAGTGCCGGAAGACCTTTCTTCAAGCCATTTTTTCACATTCGAGAAAACTTTCGTCATCATTTTACGTAATATCATTGGCTTGGAAAATTTCCTATTGTCTCTCAGCCAATCATAATCCATAATTACGATGTGTAATTTGCACTGGTGTTACACTTTTTGCACCGGTGTTACACTTTTTGCACTTGTGTTACACTTGAACTGCACTACTCTCAGCCAATCAGAATCGAGTAATATTTTCATGTATATTATTATCAGAAGAATGAAGTATAAAGCTCTGCATCCATAACAGCGGTTTACAGGAATTGAAACTGTGAATTTACCTCAAGCAAGAAGTTGTTCAATGTTACATTGTGACGTCTTACATCGATCAAAACAAAAACGTAAACAAACCCTTGAGTGCACGCAATACAGACTGGAAACTAAAATATGTCAATCAACGAAAAAACACACTGGCTTGGAATTAAGGTGGCTGAACACAGTTTTTGATACCTGTGTTTCATTCACCTTTTTCTCTAAAACCCTTGATCTCTCGGTCGCCAAAAATGGCAGCAAGCAAGTTAACAACACAAACTTTGGTTTTTTGATAGTTAAGCTGACGTATGTGCTGTTGCCATGGCAACATCAATAAATATAAACAGGGCTTTAAAATCGGTTTCGTTTATTTGTAGAAAATCTAGTCATTAGATTTTCTTTATAATTGGCATGCAACAAGCTTGTAATGATTCTCACAAGTTAACACCATTTTGCTAATAATTCAACAGAGACATCTTTAATTATCCCTTGTTGAAGGTTCACTGGAATATCTAGAATTTCCTTTGTTAAAGTTCAATTATTTTCAATACTCCAGTTACTTATTTCCTAAAGTATTTTCGTGTCAAATTTCGTGAAATTCTAATGAGTGGTTCTCGAGAAATAGGCGTATTTCCGAGAGTGGAATTTTCACTCAATCGCAGTTTTTTGACTTACTACGCATGCGCTGCATTTAACTGGGTTCTTTCGGTAACAAAGAAAAAGCTGGGAATTGCTGGGTTCTTTGCATTGTTACCTTTTCTTACATATCTTTGTGATAAAAGACTGACGCCATCAATACACTGCGTTCAATTATAGAGAAAAATAGCACAGACACTGTGGGTGTTGAGTAAATAAAGCGATTGCTCTATTGACGGCATGTTTCTTTTTTGCAATCCTTGTGCGCGCGCTGAATTACATCAGCAAAAGCACGCGCGAAAACTGTGTTCGGCCACCTTAAGGTCAGTGGTTCAAAATTGAGAAGCAAACACCCAAGTTATAATTCAAGAAGCAAACTTTATGGGTATAACCCCATTATATGATCAGCTGCTGCTTACAATACAATTTCAAAAAAAAAAAATTGGTACCTAAAAAGCCCTTTGAATGAAGTAATTATAACAATACCTCAACTGTAATATCAGAAACAACACTGGATGATGTGGCTCAAACCATGAGGAGTGAATGTGAGAAAGGCAACATCACTGACCAAAATTAACATGGGGTACTACTTACACCCAATCGAAGAAGCTAGTGATAAATGGGGCTAAGTGATGACTTTGGTAATATTTTGGGCCAAATTAGCTGAATTTTTGTATGCGGCCTTTAATCAATTAAAAAACATTGCCCTGGCATTTATTTCAGTAGTTTTTGTTTCGTTTTAAAAAAAAATACAGGTAAAAATGCTGCATACTATGTTTTCAGGGCTTGAAACAAGTGCCAACCAGTTGTCTAGGACAAGTAGATTTTTCTGCTAGACAAGCAGCTTTTCATTCTCACTTGCCCAATGGGCAAGGTATCAGGCAAGTCGTCTACCAACTAAATCATTGAAAGAGCAAACTAAGATAAGCAAAATTTGAGAGCTACTTGTTCCAATGGCAAGCTGGAATTCAAGCATTTTGTGAGCCCTGTGTTTTGCTTCATTCAAAACAGAAAGAATTGAAACCAATTAAATCTTCGTTTTGTTAAACAAGAATGAAATCCATGAAGCGGCACATGAATAAGCAGCTCTATGATGGTGCCGACAAGGCAACCTCACCTCAGGGATTGGCTGCCTTGTTGCCAATTACCTAATTCATTAATTTTTAAAAACTAATCTTTCCAGTTAATGCCTACTCATTTGTAGAACTTTTACTCCAAAATAGTAGCATTTAAAGGTCACTCCAAAAAGCTTACTTTTTTTGTCTCCACCTATAGCAAGAAAACATTGGGTTTTTGAAACTGTACTTGGCAGCCAGGCTGTGTTTATGTGATGTCAATCCATCCAACTTGAAATTAACAGGAAGGAGAAAAACCTGCAACTGACTTGGCATCCCTCACAAGGTCAGCAAAATGTATTTTTTCCCAACCAATTATCCACTTCCCTATCTTCACTGCTATCATTTTCTGGGTTTGGAGCACGTTCAGCTCGAAATACAGCTCAAGAATAACCATAACCTAGAGTGGTAGCTAAAAGGCTTACTGGAAGCCATGGACAAAATCCCTTGGAGGGAATGAATCACAAAAACATGGCCAAGCTGCTGAGTAAATGGTGGCAATCATGCTGAGTTTGGGCTTCTTTGGAGACAAATTTCACAAGAAAAACCTGCACTTTAGAAGCTGAAACTTCAGTGAGTGGCTTAAGGACAATGCCTACTAAATACAAAGGTTTTTGCACTAGGTTAGGACCACGCGCAAGAAGTAGTTCTTTGCAAGGGCTATTGCAGTCCACAAAGAAAAATTGGGGTAGCCATGCATTTTTTCGAGATAATTAGCCTTGAATCTCATCAAAAATGCTGACATCAGCATTTTTCTGAAAAAGAAGGAAGGATATTTTTTAACAAATTTCCTTAGAATTTGCATTTGCATACAGAAAAGTAAACGCATTTAAAATGATCTTTAAACTACATGGCAAATGGTAACATAAAAACCATTTTTGGTATCTTTTTAATAACAAAATCGTTGCAACAGCGCTTTTAGCATCTGACAGCCTTCCTCTGGTTCAGTCTAAATACCTTTTGCTCACAACCAGAAACTAAACATGTGTTGAATAGGCTTGCCACTTCCATTTCATAACATAAAAAGTAGGGGTAACCGCATGTTTTTTAAAGTTATTCATCTTTTTTGAAAATTTTTACGGTGCCTGTTACAATTTTTCCTGTCACCTCTCCAGTAAGGAAGACATTTGCGTATCTTGCACTTGTTTTGCGCACACTACGCCATCTGCAGGTACATGTTTACAGTTGGATTTCAGTATAATTTTCAACAGATAACAGCTAGGTTTTCAGCTCGAAGACAAACAGTTAGAGGTTAGCAATATGCTGCTATTCTGGTGTTCCTGGCTTAAGTACAGGTTCATTAAACTTGGTTTGGTCACAGTAGGAAAATTTTGCTTTCATTTTAGTCGTGTACGTGATAGCGTAGTTGATTGCCTCAATGTCAACCACAGCGCACGCATGGTGCTTTAACCATAGCTTGCATGATGCACAGAACGTGTGTGCATTAACAAAAGTAGGCACTGTCCTTAACTTAGTGTACCGTTTTTATTAGCACTGACAAAAACTATTTTTTTGGAGTGACCTTCTTCTTCAGAGTAAGGCCCGGTCCAAACACCACTCCACTCATGTGCCAAACCAAACTTGATTAAGTTCGACTTTAGAGTGACTTTGGAGCCACGGCTGGTTCAGACAGTGTACTTGCGTTGAGCCTAATTCGGGAAGCCAGTGGTAACAATTTTCGACGAGAAAATATGTGTTCTGAATTCACGAACTCTGTCCAAATAGAAAAACTGTGACTAACATTTTGCTGTTATCTACTGTTATGGCAAAATTTAGGGAAGCAAATTCAAACTCGAGGTTCAGTGTTTGTATTTAGAGAGGTTTTCTCCCAGTTAAATTGACTTTTTAAAGGGAAATCTAATAAGCTGGGCTATTATCACGAAGGAAAAGCAAAAAATGAATTTGCGCTAAAGAAACTCGCTTGTACAGTCACACTTCTTATAAATCGAAGGCATACTGGTATTTTGTCTTTATTTTTAGTGACGACTTTGAGCTTCATGCATGACTGGTCATGCCACTCAATTTTGAGCCAATCATGGGTCCTGTTATATGAAAAATAAATTACAGTAATTTATGCATCAGGTTCAACACATGAGGAGAACGCCGTATGAATCAGCTGCCGCTCCAACGTCGCCTAGTGCGACAGACCCTGCCGAATTTAATGTTGTTTGCCGCACCAAACCTAACCTGCTGAACCAAACTGATTCAAACGCCGCTCTTCTGCCATACTTAACTCATCGGTTAGGTTCGGCGCATAATTGAGCAGCGTTTGGGACGGGCCTAACTCTCTAACCAAATGGAATAAAAGTAAATGTACATGTAAGCCCAAACAAGTTCACAGAGTGGACCTATTTTTATAGAAGAGCAAATCATCAGGAGGGCGCATTTTTTTTTCCCACTTCTCTATTCATTTTAGTCTCCATCTCTGACAATGGCTTCAGTTGGGAGTAAATGTATGAGAGACGCGTGCGCATTGCGGACCTATTTTTATATGACTTGGTTATTTTGACCACCCCCTTACTATTAATTTGAACATTTGTCTTTCTCCTGAGAGTTTGAAATCATGGGTTCAACTTTCAATTGATTTTGGATTGAGCTAGTAAACATACTGTCTTGGAAATTTCATAACATAGCTTTCCTCCCCAGGATTTGAAGACAAACTCTGAGTTGAAATACTCAGGGCTCTGGATTGTAGTGGAGTGTTAAGTGCATCTAGTACAGTTAGCACCTTTGAAGTGAATTCGTGTGTCCTGGCACTTGCATCATCTGCAATTTCAGTAAAACTAGCTGCAAATTGTCTGGCATCTTTTCCACTTTGGTGAATGGTTTTCAAAGGCTTTTCTGAAATGATATCCTTCAGTATTTGGAATGTTATCCTCTCCTTTGGTGCCGATGGATGTATTCCAGGTGAATTTGGGGGATTTGCATCAATTTCATTGTTCATGTTAGACACCACAGATTCACTTTCTAGTCGCTGATTCAAAACTTCTTTCAGTGGCTGATGTTTGTATGGTGTTTTAAGTGATCTGCTATCACACCCCACATCAGGAAGAGCTTCTCTAACATTTGAAATTTCAAAAACAAGATGTTTAGGAATGCTGTGAGCTGACAGAACAAAGCTATAAGCAGTAGATAGTAAAGCTCTTTGTGGTGTCAAAAAGTCAGCTTCTTTTTCTCTCAGTTGGATTATTAGCAAAACATACTCTTTGAGGTCCTCAGTTCCTGTAAGGTGAGCGACAACGTTGAGATATCCTGCAACAAGAGCATGAAGAGCACAACGATTCATGCTTGGTAACATCAAGTTATCATCCAGAGCAACACTTTGCAGTCCAAATGCCAAATGCACTATGTTTGAAATAAGTTCAAAATCAGAGGCAACCTCTACAGTGATTACAGCCAAAGTTAAATAAATGGCAAGAATGTTTTCCACAGTATTTGAAGGCATACAAGCACTTTCATACAAATACCAGAGGATTTCATCCTTGTTCTTTTTTAAAAAAACAAGGTCCTGTTTAGAACGGTCTTCAGTTGTCAACTTAATCTCTTGACCTCTCTTTAAGACTCCATTTTCACCAAGCTTATTAATGTTACCATGACGATCAAGCAGAGTGTAAAGAACCTCTTGGGCAAGTCTTCTTACAACTGAATCTTCAACAATGGTGGCTTGAAGCAAGGATTCAAGAAATGTTGGAGAAAAGGTAGTGGAAAAGGAGATGGAGTCAAAGCTTTGAGCAACACTCAAAAGACAGCGAAGGAACATCTTTTGGAGAACTCTGTCTCCTTCTGACACCCTGGTGTGATCTTGATTTTCTTGACTAGAGTGGTGATGGTTTTGAATTTGGTCATTTGGCAATGGAAATTTTCCCATTATGAACATCATGATGTCAGTTTTCTGAAAGTCGGGAAGCACTGCAGCAAAGGCTCCAACTGTACTGACCAGAGACTCCTCAAATTCTTTCTCATCATTACCATCATCATCAGAATCACTCACTCTTCCACTCTGAAATCTGGCATCTACAGATGTTCGAAGATGACGAAGAAGGGTGTTGAAAACTTCTAACACTGCTGGACCAATGGAACTGTTACTTGCAATTTTGACACAAGCAGCCAAAACTTGTACAATACTGGCTTTGACATTGGCTTTGTCTTTGATGTGATCATCCAAATGGGACAGGAGCTTCTCAATGACCATGTAATTAAATTGACTCTGCACTGAGTACAAAACAATATTGAATATCTTCAGTGCAAACTCATTGGGTACCCAAAGCTCACTCTTATCAAAGTGAGTGAGTGCTGGGTTAATTATTGATTTTATGTTTCCGTAACTAGCTCGGTTGATTAATTCTCGGAGGCATGATTCTGCCAGAGAAGCTGGATCTTCCTCAGTGTTGGAACTCTGCAGATCTTGATCACTGGGAAGTTTAGCCATACAGCTCTCTTCCATGACAAACAACAAGGACGGTATAATCTTACTCATATGTGTGTCGTCCATGATGTTGGCTTGAAGGTCATCAGATACAGTTTTTCTCACAACACCCTGTAGTCCTTTTAGACCAGCTAAACGAATCCTGAAGCAATCTTTCTCATTCCCAGTGCTACACCAACACATTGCACTGAATTTAGAGACGAAAAAATCGTACCGTCGATGGTAAGAGGGGGTGTCTTCTTCAATATTGGCAAACTTCACAAAGGATGTACTACCGAGAACCTGCAAGTCAGCCTCTGAGCTTTCAAGCAGTTTCTGTACCATTTTAAGAAAGCTCTCGACAAACAAGTTTAAGTTAGGAGCATGACATGCTAACAAAAGCTGATCAAGAGCTTCCACGGTAATAAAAACGAACCCAAACCTTCTGCGTTCCACATCTCTGTTTAACTTCTTGGCCAGATAAGCGCCGATTCTGTCCAGCTTCTCCGGCGATGAAAGAGCGTAAAATATCAGTTTGTCCATATTTGCCTTAACCAAACCTTGGCGCGAATCAGCAGGATAGATATTATCTACTAGGCGTCTGTAACGAGGGCGTAAGTTACCAACGCAGGAACATATATGAGAACTCGCCATCTTGCAGTGAAAGGTATGGGAGGAGCTTAATAAGGATCATTGAATGCGCATACTGGATGCGCATACTTCATACTCAACCGCTGACATTTATAGTAAGTTTTGCGGGCGATCGCAATCTAGTTCCCAGATTCTGCTTAGCCTGGATAGGGGTAACGTGGGCTCTGGGAACGAGATTGGGGCGCCACATTCGAGAAAATAACTTTCAGATCCTTTCAGATATGTAGAATTTAAGGCAACTTATGGCTCAACTTCAGGAAAGCTCGTCATCTCATTCAGCCGAGATGACTGTATCAGAATCAGGAAATTTGGCACAAGGCGAAGGAAGTCATGTGGTAAGGTAAGATTGGTTTTCAGCTTTAAAAACCGCTTTCCTCTGTAGGAATAGCTCAGTACAAGTACGAAGAATACAGGACGTACATACATACAAATCAAAGTCGATCATCGAAAACGTAGTCGATAAGTCGATAGTACTCGATATTTGTCGATAATTGTCAATCGACCAGTTACATTTGTCGATAAAAGTCGATAATCACAAGGTTTTCAACTGATTATCGATTTTATCGACAAAAATGCAGACAAATGTTTCAATCAGCTACAAAATTCAAGTAACCAAACCAATAATAGCTCCAATGACTTTTTTTATGCCGAGGTTAAACAGCTCTAAAGTAAATCTGTGTGACAATGAACTTAAATAAAAACCTGAACAACCAAGTGGTCTGTTATTCATTACAGAACAAAATGTTTAAATTTCCTTGAGAAATGATCGATTAACAGTTTCAGCTGAACTAAATCGCGACCTATAACATAACTCGAATCAACCTAGTTCCCAGAGTCTCTCTAGGCGGGGGAGATGAGAGATCCTG